CCTGCTGTGAGCTGGTAACTTTGGTTATCAGGGCATGTTGGTAGAATTTTCGGTTGGAGTTCAAGTGGGGCTGGGAAGATTGTGAAAGAATGGAGAGAGAAGGGATTTGTATCCAGTTAGGGTTCGGTAAGGATAGTTGAACCAGATAGTGCATTTGTAACTGGGGATGTGGAATCTCTAATTAGCCACCATTCCAAAGGCAGTTATATTAGCTCACCAAACATTTCTTGATTGCCTGTCATATGCTAGGCACTGGGGGTATAAGATTAATAAGATGTAGTTCTTTTCATGCTTGTGAGTGATAGATACTTTTAATATGATGTTAATGTTAACAAAAGACCATGAGATCTGGGTTGGGGCAGAGGAGAGCTTTATTTTCTATACAAAACAATCTGCAGACTGGGGAGTCATAGCCTTCAGTACAAGTGAAAGTGTGCTCTCCAAAGAACAAAGGGAAGATCTGGCTTACCTAGGGGAAAGTTCTCACCCTGGTTCTCAATCAGGTCTGTTTATGCAAATGAGGGATTCACACTTGTCCACTTCTGATTGGTTAACATAGTTGAGCCCTGATTGGGTGATTTCGCAGCCCCAAACCAGAAGTCTCTGTCACATTTCTTCCAAATGGCTGGTTGGGTAAGGGGGCTTTCTAGCTGCAGTTTATCTTGGCACTGAGGACAGGAACTGGTTTGGCTTGATTGTAGAGTGGGAGGTTCTGTGATTGTTTTACAACATCTTTCTGAGAATGCAGAGTAGGTGACTGATCCCTTGCCCAGCCATGGCTGCCTGGTTCTGTTTTACCTTTGAGCACCTCAGTTAGCTATGGGGTGTGCATTTTGTCTGTCAGCTGGAGGCATACTTTAACACTAGTAAAACTGAGATACAAGCATAAAGGAATGATAGTTAAACAAAGATAGTTTACACATAGCACTTACTATATTTCAGGCACTATTTACAAAGTCATTTAGTTATCATAACCCTGTAAGTTATATAACCTTGTTTTACAGATGAGGAAACAGGTGCAGTTTCTTTTGAAGGTCACTTGAGATTCTGTGTTTATAACCATTATGTTTTATTGCCAAGGGTGCTTTGAAAATACTCCCAACCTGGTATCTCAGTGAAGGCTTTTCATAAATCTGCATGAACTGAGTTTTAAATTATAAGTATGATTTGGGCAAGCAAATAAAGGTAGAGTTTTTTTGTTTTGTTTTGTTTTTTGCTTTTTGTAATCTGGCAGAGAGTAACAGAGTGAGCCACAACAAGGGGACATGAATAGTTCTGATAGGTGCTGAAGGGCAGGGCTGGTGGTGGGACACAAGCACCTGGAGCGTGAGATGTGAGGTGGAAGTGGTGGAGAGAGGCCGTGGGTTGAATGAGGGTCTGTGTGTAGAGGTTTTCGACACAGTGCCGAGTAGTTTCGCCTTTCCTCTGAAGGCAGGATGAGGTTGCTCTTAAACAGGAAAGTGCCTGGTGAGATTTGCATGAGGAGCAGTGACTGACTACAGCATGGCAGGACCAGTGGAAGCATCTCGGGGAGAGCCCGCTGCAGTCACTTCTTTTAGATGCCTTGTAGAATCCACAACGCTTGTTTTATGTGGAGATAGTGGGGAAACTGTGTTTGTACTATAAAAATCTATTTTATTGGGAATATTTAAAATATTTTGCTAATTTAGTATTGTAATTCTATACCTTCTGTTGTAAAGCTATAAATATCCTCTGAAAACTGGCCTTCCCCCCACCCCAATCAACTCCCTTAGGGCTGTTGTTTAAACGGCTTTAGCCTAAAGAATTAAAACTGTGGACCAGTTATTATTGTTTTTCAATTCTTTCTTTCCTAAAACATTAAAAAAACAAACTCAAAAAACACTTTTTCTTTTGGCTTGGAAGAAATGCTGGAAATAGTGAAAATTGCAAAACTGATTCTTGTAGCACTTCCTTTTTATGCTATTTTGAGAAGTACTCAATTCCTCATTAGAATTAGCAAGGTTATTTGAAATAATTTTACAAGTAAAAAGACTTTCAGAAAAAGCCCTGTGACACAGATCTTAAATGTATTTACTGATTTAAATTGTAAATTGTCAAGAGTTAATCTTGAATAATAGAGATATGCTATTAGATTTATAAAAGTATTATTTTAATGGGAACATGCTGTGTGGAGGAATTGCCTGTCAATATAATAAGACTGTCACTGTATTTCTGGTTTGTTTTCTCTATACCACCAGTAGTTGTTTATATTAGGGCTTTTTAGTTTTTCTGTTTTAATTTTGTAAGGGCTGCTCTACTTTTAGTTTAGATTTTTATTACTTTTTTCTTTTGTTTTTTTGGGATAAGAGGATATTGCCTTAAATATAAATTGAAGTTTCTTTGTGGTTAAATATATGGCTAGTTTTTGTCAAGTTTTTTGGAAACTTGAAGAGAAGTTGTACTGTTTGAAATGCTGAAAGTTCAAATCTATTCATTTTAATTAATTTCAAAAAGATTGAGTTAAATCTGTAAATCCATATCAGTGACAGGTTTTGCTTGTTACTGTATGTTATTCAGATCACAAGACTCATTTCTATTGGGTCTTTACTCTTAATTATAAGTTTTGTCAGTAGAAAATTATCCTCTTTATCTAATTATTTTTTGTCCCAAATTAGTCACTATTCATATTACTTAGATTTTTTGTTTATATTCTAATATACATGGAATTTTTAACCTTTTATGCACAAAGATAAGATTTTTAACCTTTTTGTTGTTTATATATATAAATTTAAAATTTTTGTTTTTTACTTAAGTATGAAATCATACTCCTTATATAGAAGTTTAAACTTTTTACAGTATGGTTATGCTTGTTCCACTCTCAGAAGCTTTTGCTATCTATTTATTTATTGATTGATTGATATATAGGTTAGTCTTCCCTCTACAGTGATTTGGAAAATCATAGTGATTATCATAGTTTTATTTTCACTTTTGTTAAAACTGAAGTTTATCAAATGATCCACGTAAATAACAAAACATAATTTACCCATTATGTAATTATTTTATTGTGGTAAAGTATACATAATGAAATTTACCATTTTAACTCATTTTGAGTGTATAATTAAGTGACCTTAACTACATTTACATTGTTACGCAACCATTACCATTGTCTCTCTTTAGAACTTTTTCGCCAGCTCAAACTGAAACTCTGGACCCATTAAACAATCACTTCCCATTCTGCCTCCCCCTGCCTCTGGTACCTCATATTAGTGAAATAATATATGTGTCTTTTTGTGTCTTACTTATTATAATGTTTTAAACGTTCATCCATGTTGTAGCATGCATCAGAATTTAATTCCTTTTTAAGGCTCAATAATATTTTCTTTTCTTTTTTCTTTTTGGAGACAGTCTCACTTTGTTGCCTGGACATGAGGGCAGTGGCATGATCATAGCTCACTGCGACCTCAGACTCCTGGGCTGAACTAATCCTCCTGCCTCAGCTTCCTGAGTAGCTGAGACTATAGGCACGTGCACCATGCCCAGCTAATTTTTATATTTTTTGTAGAGACAGGGTCTCACTGTGTTGCTCAGAGTGGTCTTGAACTCCTGACCTCAAGTAATCCTCCCTCCTTGGCCTCCCAAAATGCTAAGATTGCAAGTGTGAGGCCACCATACCTGGCAATATTTTCTTGTGCGTATATACCACATACCACATTTTGTTTATCCGCTCATCTGTTAATGGACACTTGCATTGTTTCTGCATTTTGGCTGTTGTGAATAGTGCTGCTATGAACATGGGTGTATACAAATCTCTTTTTGAGATCTTGCTTTTAGTTCTTTAGGGTATATACCTGGAAGTGGAATTTGCTAGATCATATGGTAATCCTACGTTTAATTTTTTGGAGAAATTGCCATTATCTTTTCCACGGTGGCTGCACCATTTTACATTTCCACCAACAATGCAAAAGGGTAAAAGAGTTCCAGTTTCTTCACATCCTTGCCAATATTTGTTTTTTTTTGGTGGTTTTTGTTTTGTTCTTTTTTTTCTTTTATAATAACCATTCTATGGGGTGTGAACTATTTCATTGTGACTTTGAGCCTTTATGTAATTTTTACAGGTTTCATATCTTTTAGTTGTGTTTTCTGTATATTTACCCTTGAATTTAAAAAATTCTGACATATTAGATTTTTGTTCTTTGCAGGTTATTTCTCATTTTTGTTTTCATATATTTTCGATGGAAAATTGAGAGCAAAAAGTGAAGAACCGCAGTGCTTTTTTTTTTCACTACTATCTTACCAAGGCTGTCCTTTTACCAGCTAGTTTATGGAGCATGTCAGTATATCTGTGATACATTTTGGTCTGTATTGTTGTAACTTGTAAGTCAGTCTACTATGCTTTAGCTTCCTCCTCATATTTATGTATACCTTTCAATTTAAAAGGTATAGTTTCTATTTAGTAAGTTATTTAGAAATTTATGATGGCAGAACATTTTCCACTTGAAACAACTTTATTACCTAAAGAGAGTTTATGTAATTTGATATTTAATTTTTTTTTAATTATTTGACTCTCTTTGTTTCATTTCTTTAGTAACTTTGGGATCAATTTGAGGATGGGGATCATGTCTCTTTTACTAACACTTCTTTTTTCCCATTATGCCTGACACTGTTAGGCATGCACTAAACATAATAAATACTTGATGAGAGATTTGTATGCATATGTTCCAAGTTATAACAATTAAGCACTAGAAACTAGGAGGAATTTATGATTCATTAAGCTTTTGTATTTTATTTTTTATTCATTATTAGTTAGGATTCATCCCATTAAATACATAAATACTTAAAAGTTGTTAGTTTTTAAAAAATGTGTGCCTATCTTCCATACTTTTTTATTATGTCAGCAGGTATTAGTTATTCTCAGAGGAATAGATTTTTGTTTTGGTTTGTTTTACTATCTAATGATAATATTTTTAACTGTTCCCAGTGGCATTTGCATACTAATATTCGTTTTTTTCCTGTGTTTTTTGTTGTTTAAATGTTTTCAGAAAGAGAAACTGCTCCTGGTTTTGGGGTCCCTTGGAGAAACCATGTGCTACCATAAAAGTAGTGTCAGCTTGGAACAGCCAGAAGTGATGGTCGTGCACCACAGAATGGCCTTTATCAGCATTTCCCTGTTGGCAGTACGACTATTACAGATGCTTCTACCTGTTGAAAAGGTAAGGCAGGTAATGCTGCGTTGTAGTTTAGTGAATATTATAAATAAATGCTGTGTTGTGAATTTCTTCTGATCATTTGATAGTGTGAAGATATTCTGCTTTAGACCATTTTCAAAATTAAGTATAGGTACAGAGATTATATAGGAAATGTAGAAATTGAGAAATGGCTAACATTTTGACCAATTTTGACAAATCATTTGATAGAAGATTATTTTTTAATCTAGCAATTGTTTTTATTGCATACGTTATATTGTAGTTCTGTACAATTGTTTGTTTATTCCTTCACTTATTTATTCAGCTAATATTTTATTGATTGCCTACAGTGGGCTAGCAGTATTAGGTGTTGGATATAATAAGTTAGAATTAGTCCTTGGCCGCATAGAACTTAATCTATGTAAAAGGCAAGACTTGCTCTTATCAGTTATATACATGTATATGTTTGACTTACCTGGTTTCATTTCTTTAATAACTTCAGGATCACTTTGATGGCAGGGATCATATCTTCTATACTAATACATTTTTCCCAATTAAGCCTACCTCTGTGTTCAGCAAATAGTAAGCTTGATAAATACTTGCTATTTGTACACACACACACACACACACACATGTAATTGATACATTTGATGTATCTTTTAATTGAATGGAAATCATCGAAAGCCTATTGATCTCATCTCTGCAAGGGAGTGTCTTGGTTCTTATCATTAGTATCAAGGCTAGCTTTTCCTTCTCTACAGCTAGATACATGTTGCCAGAGTTCTTTATTCATTCATCATTTCGTAAGTTCCTTGACACATGGAATACAAACAGTAGTTTCCAGAAGTACTTCAGAAATTATTTCATAGTTAGCATATGTTCATGTTATGTAACCTGTTCTTTTCCTTGTTGTTTTGTCTATTCAAAATAGTGTCAGAAATGCTTTAGTTTCTAAGCGTTGATCAGATTAAGTTGGTTCCTTAGGACTGTCATAGTTCCTATATTTGTTGTTCTTTACGTATATTAGTAATGTGTCATACATTTTAGTAACTTAAGTGATTTTTTTTTTCTGATAGCACACATTTCTCTAGGAGGTTTCCCATTTGTCTGTATCCCTTCTGCCAGCAACTTAATTGCTTAATATTTTTATTTTGGCAATGTATCAAAAGAATTTCAGGAATTATGTGTCTGGTGATACTAAATATCCTGGTGTTTGTCTGACTCAACTAGTTAATATTTGATATTTAGGAATTTGTTTTAGTGTCTAAACTGTATTTGTAGTTTGAGTTACTTATTATATGAATTCATGTTTTAGTTGTCTTTTGAAAGTTCTTTTTGTGATTAACATGTTATTTTAATTATCTTTTACAAAGCTGCTTTTTTGTCCTTAATAGCAGTAAACTTTCTTCTATACTAGTCTTTTTTCTAGTACTTTCTTTTTTCTCATTTTCTATTTTTGCCTAGCTCTTTCTTTTCTTAAGCATTGGTCTTCTAAATCTTAAACTATTATTCAGAAAGTAAATTGCTCATTTAAAAAACATTTTAATGTACAAAGAAGAAAAATTCATTCATAATTTCAAATTAGTTTTGAGACTTTTTCTTTAAAATCAAGTTGAGAGCATCTATAAAAATTATTCTTTTTTTTTACCATTTATTCTTATCTAATATGTTTTTCATTTAATTAGGCACTTTATATATTTTAAGATGCTATTTAATAATATTTTAATAATGTTCTATAATTTGCACACTTTTTTTCTAGAAATGAAGCATTTAGTTTTTTTAAGTGTTTGAAAAATAATACTATGTTAAATATGTATACACAAATATTTACTCATATTTTAGATTCTTAAGTTCCTAATATTTAATAGAAACATTTCTGGGTCAAAGACTGAGAATGTTCAAACATGTTTTTATTATAAGCATACTTTTAAAGTGTTATAATTCCACAAGTTTTATTGTTTTTACTAAAGAGTGGGTAAAAAAAAGGGGTAAATGGAAAAGATAATTGTGAGACTATATGGTAGAAAATTATTAAAAAGAAGCAGTTTTGAAAGCTGGAGGAAGTAGAAAGTGTCCAAGGCCACTGTGCTAATCACAGTTTCTGAAATTGTGCAGTATTTTAATTGGGACACTTACATTTTTAAATAATTTTTGATACTCTGTCAGAAAAAAATTTGTTAAATTCTGTGAAGGCTTTCTTTTTGAAACTTTTTTTCATTGTGGTGTAACATACATTCAAAAAATTACACAGTTCAATACATTTTTACTAAGTGAATATATCTGTCTTTAAAAAGTGACCACCCCTCCATAATAGGAAATAGAACATTACCAGCATTCCAGAGGCTCCATTACCTCTCCTTCCTTCCCCAAGCCAAACTCTGACTTATATCACTGTAGATCAAAAGAAAATTTGTCTGTTTTTGAATGTTGTTGAAATGGAATTATATGTACTCCCCCAACTTTTTTTTGCGATTCATCACTCTTGTTGCTTGTAGCAGTAATTTGTTAATTTTTATTGCAAAATACTATTCTATTGTATGAATGTATGTTAAAGATGATTTTAGTAGGCGTAAATATTTCTTTGAAAACTTCTTACTATATTTTCAAATGTGAGGCTATATCTCTGACTGAATGTTAGTGGTAAAAATATCTCCAATGGTTCCTACACAAGTGTTTTTTGGTATACTCATCATTGGAGAAAGAAAGATGTGGCACACTAAAATGGAGGTAGAGGAGAAATTAGGACAACTAGAGAACTATTTCCTATGCCTTTTTGTTGCCTTTAGTTATTAACCAATATGCAGTTTTGTTCTGTAGAATTCTGCAGAGCATATAGTCCAAAATCTATTATCTAGTGACTCTTATGTATGCAATATATTACCACGTCATCTGGGAAAGCAAGAGTTAAGCATTAAATTTTAAATATAATATTTTGGGCCAGGCGTGGTGACTCATGCCTATAATCCTAACAGGAGTTTGAGACTGGAGGATAGCTTGAGGTCAGGAGTTTGAGCAAGAGTGAGACCCCATCTCTAAAAAAAAATAGAAAAATTAGCTTGGTGTGGTAGCGTGCACCTGTATTCCTAGCTACTTGGGAGGCTGAGGCAGGAGGATCGCTTGAGCCCAGGAGTTTGAGGTTGCAGTGAGCTATGATGATGCCACTGTACTCTAGCCGTGGTGACAGAGCGAGACTTTGTCTCAAAAAAACAAACAAAAAAAAATGTATTTTTATCTGTCTGTCTATCTATCTGTCTATGTAGTATTTTACTTTAGGGCAAATAACATCACTTGTGTTAATTTATAACTTTTATTCATTAGTCATATGTTTCTGAAGTAACTTTCTGTTTTGAAGAGTGATAATTTTCCAACACATAAGTGTTAACAATGCAAGAATTCCAGTCTTTTAAGATAGGAATTGCATTTAAAATATGGGTATCTTAATAGTATATAACTGCAAAATTAGCGATTCTACAACAACTTGTTATTGAGTATTATAAATGATCCATGTATAGATTGAAATATTGATGGAAAACTTATCGTATAAATTGTATCATATAGTATATTGCTTTTTTGATTATATTTTTTTCATCTATGTGTTTATTTGGGTAGGAATCAAATTAGAAAAGAATATTGTATTTTACTTAGTTTAGTGCTAGTATAATATGCAGTTAATTTTCTATGCTTTATTTGAAGGTAGTTTTTAAAAACAAATATCTAATTTTTGGTAGTTCTTTTAAATATATCTTGGAACTTTATTAGAACAGTTTTGGTCATTGTAGGAGATTGCAGTTAAGGTATTTGTTTATAGATGGCTGTATTTGTTTTGATTAATTAAGTGCTTTAAAATAAGATCTAGACAAAAATGCTATTTCCCTGCTGCTACATTTCTGCTTTGGCTTATATAAATGTGAGGTTATGCTGCCCTCTGTCTGTTGCTAGCCCACCAGCAATTGAAGTGTAATTTGGACTCTGAAACTTTTTATCTTTGAACTGGTTTTTTGAGTTGCCACTTACCAAATATATAATTTCAGTGTTGAAAAATGAACACGAATGTATGTAGATATTTCCTGAATTTGACAAAATGTTCTCAAAGGCCTGTTTTGAAACTGATGTTTGTTGATTTAAATGATTTTGGAGAATACTCGTGTATAGGTTAAAATGATGTGTTGGTAATCTTGTGAAAAATATGCTGGGTGGATAAACCAAATTGGTAAAACAAATGAAAGTAATTTCATTTGGGGAAACATCTCGGAAATGAGAGCTAAAAGTACTGGCCCTGTGCTAGAATCAGAAACACTGAGCATCTTAGATACTGCTATTACTCTTTCTCAACTAGCCAAGCAGACTGAGGGTAAAGAATTTATAGCAGAAGGCCTTTGGCTTTTCAGTGAGATGTACGAGGGCAGTCTGGAAAGTATCCAGCCATTGTTAATATAACGAGTGGTCACGTGGCTGGATACTTTCCGGATAGCCCTCATATAAAACCTAATGATTTGGCCAAGCCAGTTGAGTGACTGAAGATTACCTGAAGATATTCTTGCATATTCTCATTCATCAGGTCTAGGGTGGGGCCCAAGAGCCTGCATTTCTAACAAACCCTTAGATAATCCTGTGGCTGGATTTAGAGAAAACAATATTATACCCCTTCCCCCGCCAGTGCACATGAGATGATGTTGTCGATTCTTTTTTAATAGTGGTGATAGATTTGCACTGAACGTCTTCACTTGTAGTTCCAAATAACATGTGACTAATGCTTCTATATGCAGGACAACTGTCTTAAAATTGTAATTAGTCCACTGGGTCATGAGAGGATTAAGCTTCTGACCTGAGCATGTTGCTTTGAATTGCTAAGATAAGAGTTTCAAATATGGGTATGCAGAGTGAAAATGTCAGAATTCCTCCGTGGTGAGGTGAAAAGAGGAAAGGAAATTAATATTTATTGAGTGCTATATGCTGTATGCCTTGCTTAATGCTTGTTTAATTCTCACAGCAGCTATTAATTTTCTGACTAGTGTCAGAGAAAACTCTTTCAAACTAGAACAATAGTGCCTTTAGAGTAAGACCCACTAGGATTTACTATCTTAGCACTGTGTCTGACTCACTAAATCTCCTTTGCTAATTCTTCTTTATCGTCCTATTTTTTATTTATTTTATTTTATTTTTTTTGAGTCTCCCTCTGCCGCCCCGGGTAGAATGCCGTGGTTTCTTCATAGTTCACTGCAGACTCAAACTCCTGGGCTCGAGTGATCCTCCGGCCTCAGCCTCCAAGTAGCTGGTACTAGAGGCGCCCACCACCAGGCCTGGCTAATTTTTCTATTTTTGGTAGAGATAGGGTCTTGCTCTTTTTCAGGCTGGCCTGGAAGTTCTGAGCTCAAGCGATCCTCCCGCCGTGGCCTCCCAGAGTGCTAGGATTACAGGCGTGAGCCACCGTGCCTGGCCTGTCTTCCTAAGTCTTAAAGGAGTAGAACCCCAGGACTGACTGTAGCCCTAGTGAAATATCACTGTGTGTGAGATTTTGAAATGCCATCTATTTGTTGATGCCTCCCAAATTTATATTTCCAGACATATCACCCGAACTCTAAACTTGTATATATTCGATGTCCTTTTTGACTTCTTCACTTGGATGACAATAAATATTTTCCAATTTAACATGTCTCAAACTAATTCTTTGCTTCTCCTCACAAGTGTGTTCTTCCTATAATCTTCCCTATCTCAGTAAATGCCAGCTTCATTCTTTAAGTTGATAGTTGATCAGGCAAAAACCTTAGAGTCAGCCTTGATTCTTGTGTTTCACTCACAGCTAGATCTAATCCCTGAGCAAAACTTGTTGTTTCTGCCTTGAATATCTATACAGAATCTGAACTACCTGAGTTGAACCCACCATCCTATCTTGTCTGGATTATTGCAGTAAACTCTTCATTGATCTGTCAGCTTCCACCTTTGCACTTTACTATATGTTCACTACAGACTGATCTTGATACTTGCTTGAAATCTTCCAGTGGCTTCCATCAGCAAACAAGTCCTTAAAATGGATGACCCAAAGCCTTACCTGATCTGGCCCACCACTCTTCTCTGACGCCATCCGGCACTGCTAGCTACACCAGCTTCCTGCAATCAAATACACCCTATCTCTGAGCCTTTGTACTTGTTTCGTCTTCTATGAATGCTGTCACCCAGAAATCCACATGGCCCCTGACCCATCCAGGGCTCTACTTCAGTGTCACCTTACTGCAGAGGCCTTCCCTTCCTGCTTTAAAGTAGTAGCATTTCCCTGCCTCCATCCCATTCCTTCTCTATTCCTTCTCCATTTCTCTCCATTCCAATCCCGCTTTAAAAAAATGTCCTGGCTACACCTGACATCTTATGAAGTATATTGGTTTACTTTTCTGCTTTGTCCAGTAGAATGTCAACTTCATGAAGGCAGAGGTTTTGTTTTGCTCCCTGCTATATTTCCAGGATCTGAAACGGTGCCTGGTATATAGTAGAGGAACATAGTAGGGGCCTGATTAATATTTGCTGAATGACTGAAAAATAGATAATCAGGTCATTTCGTTTCTCTCACTCCCCTTTTCCCCCCACAATAGAGTTCTTCACAGAATAATGAAATTTCTCTTGACTTCCTAATTTTTTTTTCTAAATTCTTTCTGATTCTTTCTAATTTCCTTTTACTAGTCTGGGGTGTTTTCATACATTGTAATCTAACAATCTGATTTCTGTAGTTTCTGATATTCATTTGGCAACTTTATTCGTTTAAGGGTATCATTGTTTAGGTGATTTAGCTCTTAATCCTAGACTTTCACGTAGTTAGTGATTATCTTTAAAATAGGTTATCCACGCAATAAATCATGACCAAACTCACTTTACTAAAGGCAGCAGCATTTCGGCCATAATAGTATGCTGTGTCAAAAGATTTTCTCTGAACATTGAAATTTAAATCCTTTCTGTTTCTTTAATTGATATTTAGAATCTTGTTACAAAGCTAGAAACATTAAAAAAACCCAGTTATTTCAGTTTTGTATTCATTGATTTAAAGTTATAAAATGTTTTGTGTATTTCATTTGGGCATGTTGATTTTATACTAAGGGGCTATCTTCTGTGAGTATTCTAGAACAATTTTAAATATGTTGAATTTCTCCTTTCCCTTCTAAAATATGAAACCAAACAAAAAATCAATTTCAGTTAAAGTCAATCTATAGCTATACTTGATTTAGTGTTATTCAATTTACTGTGTGGTTAATAAACCCTGAGTTACTTGTTCAGCTATGGGATGGGTAATTGTTCTTGTCTTCAAGAGTTTATTGCATTATTGTGGATATTTGTAAGCATTTGCACAAAATACTTAGAGAAAAGGGCCTTGTGCCTTAGTAGCAGAGGTGTAAACATGGTGCAGGGCTCAGGGAGAGAGTAATACCATGTGTTGTTTTGGGGAGGAAGAAAGTATCCGGTATCCCAGCTTTTAGAAAGAGTTGATATTTGGACATTTTGGGTAGAGAAAAATTGCATTGAACAAAGGCACAGAGGCAAATGGTGTGTTGGGAAATAGGATTTTCTTTGGAAAAAGCATAGATTTTATGATAAAGAATTGCTAATAAGGAAGGTGTATTGAGATTATAGTCTACCATCGTTTTCTTTTTTAAAAACATTTCAACTTTTTTTTTTTTAATTCATCAAGGCAAGTGAGTTTTTGCCAGAGCCTATGTCAGCAGCATTATTTCTCCTTTCTTTGGACATGCCTATTTCTTTGGAATATCCAAATATTCACGAAGCTGTTGTGGCCTATTTGGAACAGCTGAATTCTGAAAACTACAGTATTTATAAACGAACTGCAGAGGCCGCTTATTCAATTGAATGTACTTGCAACTTCCTGTCTGACGTTGGAAAGGAGGTAAAAAGTTTTGCTAATATCTCTTTTAGTGCCTGAGCCCCTATAGTGAGCAGATTACATTATATAAGAATCTTATATAATATATTCACGGAAGTGACA